AATAAAGGGAATATTCAGAATTGTGCAAGCTACAAAGGGATAAAAAATTATGAGCCATTTGATGAATTGTGGGAAAGAGTGATTGGACACAAGTTGAGATTGGAGACTTGTTTTTAGGATAAACAATTCAGCTTCATGCAAGGATGGGCTACAACAAAAGTGGTCTATTTACTAAAAGGGTTAGCGGAAAAGTATTGAAGAAAAGGAAAAGATTTACATGTAACTTTCATAGATTTGGAAAAAGCTTATGATCATGTACCAAAAAAAGTACTTTAAAAAGCCTTGGAAATGGAAGGCATCTGTGTTGCATATATCAAGGATCAATAACCTCTGTTAGAATGTCTTGAGGTGAGACAAAAGACTTTCCTATAAGCATTGGCCTACATCTATGAGACCTTACTTGTTTGGCCTAGCTTTATACGTTATAACTGAGCATACACAAGAGGAAATCCACAAGTGTATGCTTTTTGTTGATGATGCAGTTCTCATTTTGGAGTCAAGAGAAGAAATTAACTTTAAACTCGAGTTATGGAGAAAGATCTCGGAGTTGGAGAATTTTTTTCCTAAATAGGAGTAAAATAAAATGTATGCACTGTAATGAAGCTATTGAACCATATCTTTTGGTTAACAATTTTTCTAAAGATTTGTTAATAGAGTGCAATGGCATCATATAATCTATGTAGGTGATTCCACCTAGTAAGATAAGGCTTGTTGTTGTTGTTATTAGGCATCAAACAGAAAGAGAGATGTATTATTAAAACTATGACAACATGTAATCAGATATGTAGATGACCTGAGACATAACAACTCGGTAGCTGAAAGATTGGGTTGGAGCCCCATGAAGGAAAACAATCGTTCCTCGTCTGCTTTCTGCTGATCCTAAAAGGAAGTGAAAAAAAATACAAATCGTTTAAAACTTTTCTTGAACAAAAAATATAATTCTAAAGAGAGAGTTAGTTCTCAGCAAAGTAAATATTACCAGTTTCCCTCACAAACCATCTTAACTTCCCAGACTTAACGTATGACCCATATTCCTTGCCCTTGTCTTCTATCCTCTAGAATAATATAAAACACACAAGTTATATATGCTACTAGCACTGTGCTCCTTTGCTACGACTAATGTAATAAGTAGAACTCTATTTCGGGTTTCCAAATATAACTCTCAATTTCAATTGGCTCCTTCAATTTCTTTTTCTGCGTCACTCTAGTACTTGAAAATATAATTTTGTTCAACTTTTATCCTTTATGGAGATGCAAATAATCTACTGGGTTGGGAAAAAAAAAACAATCAGGCTTTTCAAGGTACTAAAGTGATGCAAGAGAATATTTTAAGGATCAAATTGGAGATTTACTTTTGAATAATATTATGACCATCATGAACAGCAAAAATTCTTTCAAAATCAGATATAATTCGGAGAAACAAGACACGAAAGTACAAATTATACACGATAAAAACATCTCCAATGATAGCTTTGGCATATATAATACTGAAAGAAAAGAGGTAGACTTTGGACAATGCTTAAGCTAAGGATCCTTCAACATTCCAACCCCTTTATGTTTATTCCATCATAATCCAATTCATAACTTGTAATAGAACTCCAATCAAGAAAAATTAAATCGGTTATTTGTAATAAAAAAGTTGTGACTATTGTTAAGATTAAAAATACTATAATCACTCAAAGTTAACTTAGGCATTGATATAAGATTATACTGCGAATTACAACCGAAGAGCATAAATCACCAAAACCATTTTATAAGTTAGCCATTAAAACAAAAGAAGAAGAAGAAACCGGAAGCATTATACCAGTAAGTACAAGAAAGGTTCGATGTCAAATAGACGTTACATAAAGCATTTGGCCGACATTGCCATCCTCAGCAGGACTCTCCGGCAACTGAATTGCGCTGCGGCTAGATGGGTTGTCGGTTACGAAGCCGAAAGGATTGAACTCAGGCGTGTCATTTTCGTCATTGGACTCACCCTTTTCTGCAGAGCTAGCTCGAACTCGAACTGTAACTCTCGGCGATCGTCTTCTCGTGTAATTGCTCAAGGCATTTCTGGGGTTTATGGAGGATGAGGAAACAGCAACGTTGAGGGAGAGAGAAAGCAGAGGAGAAGCCATCGTTTGGGGTCGCTGTGACTGCGAGTGGCAGAGGTTAGAACCGGGGTGACTCAGAAGTTGAGGACCAAGAGCTTCGTTCAACGGTTGAGTGTAACGAACAGAACTGGCCGCTTTTTTATTTCGGCTTTTTTGATACTCGGCCAATTATTTGTGGCTCAAGATGGGCTGAGGGGGCCAGGCATGATCATCCCCATGCCTTTTTTCTTTTCTTTTTTTTAATTTTTTTTAATTTTTCGTTTTATTTAGATTTCTAATTTTTTTTTGATAACATCCACTATTTTAGTTAATTAATATTTTGTGCATTCGATATCCTTAATTATTTTTTCAGTTACACCTAATATCATAAATTAATTATTTTTTTATCTTATCCAGTACCCTCAAATATTTTATAATGGGATCCAGTATCCCAAATTAATTAATTGTTACTATATCTAGTATCCAAAAATATTTTTTCTGCAATATCCAATATGTAAATTAATTTTTAGTGTATCTAATATTCTAAGATATTTTTCTAATAATACTCACTAACTAAAAAATACTCTGAATATACTAAAAATTAATTAACTTGAGATATTAAGTATTATTGAAAAATATTTTAGAATGTTAAATATAAATTAATTCAATTGGGCTGGGGCAGTGTGATGATATTCTCAGACTCTGTTATACTACCTCTTACTCTTAATACATGATACAATTGACTAATGAAAACAAATTAAAAAACTTATTAAATTATAGTATATATTATAGGACCTTTTCAAAATATTTATATGGATCATTAGATTATATATAAATTTATAAATAAAAAAATTAGTTTAAACAAATAATAAATATAAGTACTTTAAAATAATTTAATGAGTTTTTTAATTTCTTCAAATAAGTCAACTTAGTCTTATAAAGAAGGAGGTAGTGTTATAATTATACTATAAGTACTAAAAAAACTACGGAATAAATAGAGATAATCAGAGTTTATTTTAATTCTAAATATAATGTTTAAAGAGTAAAACAGTATTAACACCCTAATTTTATTTTCTAGATACTTTTAACATCATAATCTTTTTAGTACTACAATTTTACTTATTATTTCTTAAATTTGGGGCAATCTGAACTTTTCTTTGTTTATTTAAAACCACTATTTTCCTTTTATTGATTTTAATAGTTAAAATTAACAATTTTGGTTCCTTTTATCAAATTATTAACAATTTTCACATAAATTAACCAAATTACATTCACACAAGAAAACTGAAAAACAATGGATGAGACTGTATCAAATTTAATAGATTATGAGTAGCATTGTACTACTTAAAAATTAGAATGTTAAATGCACTTAAGAAATAAAATTAACGTATTGGATGCATTTTTACCCATATTTCGATCCACTTTTTTTTTTTTTTTTTCAATCTAACCTTTTTAACTATCTCCATTAATATTAGTCGTACATGTTAAGTAAATTTCTTTTAAGGGATAATTTCAAATAAAAGGCATGTTAAGAATATTAACACATTTTTTAATAATTAATTAGTTTAATTAAGTTTTTTAATCTCATGAAATTAATTATTTAATTTTATATTTAAAATTGGAGTGAATATTTTGTTAGATTTATTACACGTGGATGTGTGAAAATGGAAAATGTCCACATTACTCAAAAGAGTGGAAGCTCAGTTGAATATACTGTGTCTTGTGAAGAGAAAAGGAGTTGATCTGTCTATCAAAACTTATTAATTAATCCTCTTATCCTATTTGGAGGATAAAGTGAGAAATTTTTTTTTAATCATATTTACAAGTCACCTTCTTTAACTTTAACCATGAATATATTATTTTTGTCCTTCACTTAGTGTAGTGTATATAGTTATTTTTTTAAAAGATATATGTATTAAATAAAAATAAAATTAAAAAATTATTATATTTTAATCAAGAGTTCATACAGTTTAATGTTTTTTTAGCTATATAAAAGACGTCAAAAATACCCTATAAATAAAACCAGAAAAGTATATGACTCCTTGTTTTACATTATTTTTTTCAGAAATATTAGTCTCAATATCATATAAATTTTTAGCATTCAAGTGGTGATGAGATTTAAATCTCACCGTCACCCTTACCACTTTGCCCCAGAAAATTTCTCCGAGAGCTTCAGAGCTAGTGGCAATTGGCAAATGGGGTCCTGCTGATGGTAATAGGAGAATGTTTGGATTAGCTTTCTGAAATAATTTTATGGTGTTCAAAATAACAGTGTAAAAGCACTTTTTTAAGTGTTTTTAGGCTTTTCAAACAACTTTGAAAATCTTGTTTTCATTATTTTGCCACTTTAAATTTAAATTCCTTCCCCAACCTTGAACTTTTTTAAATAAAAAAATACTACCTCTCGTCCTTAATATAAGATCTTGTTTGACTTTTATTTTGATCCTAAATATAAAACCCCAATCCACCTTGTCTTTCATATTTATGCATTTTTTTCCCAAAGTAGCCCTTCTAATAATGATAGTTATAGTCAATACACTTGATTAACAAAGATATTTTAAGAAAGACAACACCTATTTAGGACAAATAACTAACTCAACTTACTTTCTTAATCTCCTCAAATTAGTCAACTGGCTTTTATAATTAGGACAGGAGGTAGTAGTTTTTTGGCCAAAAATCTTTTGTTTTTTTTTGTTTTTGGGTTGAATTTCAATGTCTCAGCACTTAACTAGTTAACTATGATTACCCTGTGGCCAAAAATAAAAATGTTTGAATAACCGTCGTGACGGCGGGAAGAATCCGATAACAGGTAGGGAAGATTTACTGGTTAGAAAAACATTCGGAAAAGAAAAAATACTGACATGATTCGATAATACTATTATACTACTTTTCAAAAATTGTGGGGGCGGAAAAACGCATTAAACATGAAACTCGGGGAGCTATGGTCAAAACTCACCCTGGGGGAGGAGGTTAGGGCAAGGCCGATTTCGCAATCTTCGACCGACGGAACGCTCGGATGAGCCTTTAGCCTGACCATGACCGGCGATACCTCGTATTCTGCGGACAAGAGCTTGTCGCCGGGTCAAAACCTCGACATCACGGTAATTGTATTCTTATTTTATGCCTGTGCCCAGAACTATCTGTTCCTCTGTCCGTCTCAGAGTTTCCGCTTCAAATTTGGATTTCAATGATGCATATACCATGGGGGCAAATAAATGAAAGTAACAACCGCTCTCTTTGTATGGGTCCATGTGGGTGTTTTCCAATTTGTTCTAGTTCGACTAGGTTTTTTCAGCGGTGTTGGTCTTTATGGTTCGGTCGGTGTAGTGGTAAATGGTAAAATGTGTTTTTTGAGATAGCTTTTCTTCTTCGATGCAAAAAAAAAAAAAAAAAAGGAGATACTTTTTCTTCTTCAAGAACTTCGCGGCTCTACCTAATATTGAGACTATACCGTAGAAGTTTAAGATGATTTGATATTAAATGGCTCAGTCTTCTAATGGCCTTGTGAGGATGCGTCGTAAAGCTGCTAGTAGAGTGTAATTAAGGGGCTAAGTCGTGAAACCTGTTGACATATTTCATGCCTTGCTGGATATTCATCGAGATCCCAGCAATTCAATTCATTCGATAGTGTTGAAGAAATAGCTGACTCAATGCTTCGAAAAAGTTGCTTATTGGATGAAATTGTTTTTTCCCTTCATAGAAAATGAGAATCATTAGGTGAGAGAAAAAAGAGAGCGCAATGGATATTTACAACCTCAATACCTGTCAATAACAAAGAAATTCAAGATGGTAAATACATAGAGTAGCTTCCTTATCAAAATATTTCAATTTATATACTTACCAAAACAAGTTATTTCAATTTATAAATTCAATGCGTGCACACTTCTTTTAGATCTGTTACTATTGAATTTATATTTCATTTCTCAGATAGAGGAAGGATCTCCAAACAGTGAGCAATTGCTTGATGTTGAGGATGAGTGCAATGACTTTGAAAATGACTGTGAGCAACTATTTGAGATTGATGGAGATGATCATGAAAATGGGAGAGATGAAACGGAGATTGTTGATTTTCATAATGGGGAATCTCAAGTAAAAGAATGCCCTCCACCTGTAGTAGGGATGGAGTTTGAAACATATGATGATGCCTATAATTATTACAATAGCTATGCCAAGGAACTTGGGTTTGCTATTAGGGTTAAATCATCATGGACCAAACGTAACAGCAAAGAGAAACGTGGTGCTGTGCTCTGCTGCAATTGTGAGGGTTTCAAAACAGTTAAGGAAGCAAACAGTCGTAGGAAAGAAACAAGAACAGGTTGTCTAGCAATGATTCGATTGAGATTAGTGGAATCTAATAGGTGGAGAGTGGATGAAGTCAAGCTTGAGCATAACCATTCATTTGATCCTGAGAGAGCACAAAACTCTAAGTCACATAAAAGGATGGAAAGTGGGGCCAAAAGAAAGATTGAGCCAACTTTAGACGTTGAAGTTAGGACAATCAAGTTATATCGAACACCTGTCATGGATTCATCAGGTTATAGATGCTCAAATGCTAATGAAGAAGGAACTAGTGACCACGCTAATTTTTCCAGGCATTTAAAACTTAGAAAAGGGGACGCAGAAGTTATTGCAAACTACTTCTGCCACAAACAACTGATGAATCCTAATTTTTTCTATGTGATGGACCTGACTGATGATGGACGCATGAGGAACATCTTTTGGATTGATTCAAGATCGAGGGCTGCATATGGTTACTTTGGTGACGTGGTTGCATTTGACTCAACATGTCTGTCAAACAATCATGAAATTCCACTGGTTGCATTTGTTGGTGTCAATCACCATGGGCACTCTATTTTATTTGGATGTGGTCTGCTTGCCGATGAGTCATTTGAAACATACATTTGGTTATTTAGGGCATGGCTTACATGTATGTCCGGTCGCCCTCCACAGACTATCATTACAAATCAGTGTAAAACCATGCAAAGTGCAATAACTGAGGTTTTCCCAAGAGCCCATCATAGAATTTGTCTTTCACAAGTCATGCAGAGTATCCTGGGGGACTTGGCACTGTCGCAAGGATATGATGCACTTCAGATGGCGTTGACTAAAGTGATATATGAATCTAAAACAGTTGATGAATTTGAGAGGGCTTGGGAGGATTGGACTCAACACTTCGGAATAAGCAATCATGAAAAGCTCCAAGCCCTACATGAAGAACGGGAGCGTTGGGCCCCTGTTTATTCCAAGGACACTTTTTTTGCTGGAATTTCTGATTACGTTAATGACGAGGCCATGAGTTCTTTTTTCTATGGTCATGTGCATCAGCAAACTTCTTTGAAAGAATTTTTTGACATTTTGGAATCAGTTTTACAAGAGAAGCATAAAAAAGAAGCTCTTGCTGATTTAGAGTCAAGAGATTCAACACCATTACTGAAAACAAGATCTTACTATGAGTTGCAGTTCTCTAAATTGTACACAAATGCAGTATTCAGTAAGTTCCAAGATGAAGTGGTGATGATGTCTTCTTGTCTCAGCATCACAGAATTTCAAACAAGCGGGTCTATAGTGACGTACATAGTTAAAGAATGCATAGAGGAAGAACCAGTGAGGGATGTCAGCCAATTTGAAGTCATATATGATAAAGCCATAGCAGAAGTTCCCTGTGGCTGTAACTGCTTTAACTTTAAAGGCTATCTATGCCGGCATGCCTTGTGTATCCTTAGTTACAATGGCGTGGAGGAAATTCCATGCCAGTATATTTTGTCAAGATGGAGGAAGGATTATAAGAGATTGTATGTACCAAATCTCAGCCCCAATAATGTTGATATCACCAACCCTGTTCAGTGTTATGATCATCTGTACAGACGGGCTATGCAACTTGTTGAAGAAGGAATGGTATCCCAAGATCATTATATGGTTGCTTGGCAGGCATTTAAAGAGTCTTTGAACAAGGTTCGCCTTGCAGCAGCCGACAAGATTGAATAAATAGATCAAGAGTGCATGTAGTTTGTGCCTGTAGAATTTCTTTTATTCATTTTTTCTAGGCAGCCATTACACCCGCGGTTGGTTCTTTGGGTGATGTTCATAGCTTTTGGCCGTGGCTGTTCATAGATAGTTGTAAATTCAACCAACTCTACCCGAAAGGTAAGTTTTTCCTTCAAATGTTGGATTTGGTTGGGCTAACATTCCTACCCCCAAAGTGTGGTTTTTCATAAAGCCGTTTTAAGAAAACATGGTTTTATGTGGCATTAACACACTCTTGATACTAAGAGGAGATTAATAAGTTTGCTGATGTTTGTTTGGCTGATGGAAAAAGGAACTATTCGAACTAGGTATAGAATCAAGATTATTCAGGAGCAGTTGGTTGCTTTCTTCAATTTTTATGATGCCATTCAGGTGGGGATCTTGATTTTGGCATCTTTGAGAATAGCCAGTCCGTGTCTTTAACTGGTGGTATGGGAGGCATTCCTGAGAATAATGGTTGCAATATTCAAAACGGCCCTATTGCGTACTCTTATTCCCCCTGTTTTCCTTTTTCGGTAAAATATTTCAAGACCACTAATGCTACTCATGCAAATAATTAAGAGGGATCAATATTTGTTGCTTTATTTATTTTTTTTGGGAGAATTAAAGTGAGGTCCTAAGGAAATAAAATAATTATAAAATAAGTTTTAAAAGTTGTCATTTTTTAATCTGAAATTTTTCATTACAGGTTGTTTAAGTTGTTATTAAAATTTTTTTGAGTAATTATTATTATTTTTTTGCTTGGAACTTCATTGTAATTCTTTCTTTTTTTTTTCTTTGCCAATGAATTTATGGTGCTTTAACAGTTTACACAACTTATGCGTTGGCCTTTTTCTATATGAATAATTATTTTTGTCTCTATATGTTTCAGCAAGCAGAGAAGAGTTGTGACAAATTCTCCGTAGTTAACGTAAAATTCAATTGAATCCATTATGAAGTTGAATTAATAAAAAAAATTGTGCTAATTATTTTTGCAAATTTAAAAAAGTTCAGGGAATTGAAAATGTTTATAGAAATTAAGAATTAAACAGGTGTAAAAAAATATTTTTCATAATTACAAATAATAAAAAATGTTTTAGTAAGTTTTATAGGGTTAAGGTGTGCTTAGCATCCCGAATTATTTTCCCAGGTGCACCCAGTGTCCTAAAGTAATTTTCGGTGCATCCAGTGTCCCAAACTAATTAAAACGGTGCATTCATATTCCGGGCTAACAGAAAAGTTAAGTTTGACTATTATTTGCTGACTCAGCAAAATGTTGACCAACGTGGCGGACACGTAGGCGTTTGATTTGTATTATTTTGACGGGCCAAGATACGTCTAGCACCTCGAACTATTTTTTCAGGTGCGCCCAGTGTTCTAAAGTAATTTTTTGTGTATTCAGTGTCTCAAACTAATTAAAACGGTAAGTCCACATCTCAGGATAACAAAAAAGTCTCGTTTGACCGTTACTTTACTAACTCAGCTGAAGGTTGACCGAAAAATCCTAGATGGCGGACACATAGGCGTTTGATGTGTATTATTTTGACTGAAAATTCAATTTATTTCCTCCTCTTCTAACATTTATCTTCTGCCAGTTTTAAAACTTAAAAAAAGAAAGACCACCGATCCACCCTCTTAAATCTTGGTACATGTACCACCCATTCAATTCCATTCTCGTTTTTAAGATTTTATCCCATTTCTTCCACCATATACTTTCATCTCCGCCTCTATCAACTTCTCATCCGACTCGTGTTTGTTTTCCTCCTCCTAGAACACAGTGAACTTTCCCTTGGTCACTTCGTCGATATCGTCGTCCCCTTCCGAAAAAACACCCGCTACTACCGGGCTCGTCTTGGGAGCTTTAGTCGAAATAATATACATCAGACGTCTGTGTGTCCGCCATGTAGGATTTTTCTGTCAATCTTCAGTTGAGTTAGTAAGGTAATGGTCAAACGAGATTTTTCTGTTAGCTTGGGATGTTGACGCACCGTTTTAATTAGTTTGGGACACTGGATACATAAAAAAATTACTTTAGGACACTGGGCGCACTTAGAAAAATAGTTCGGGGTGCTGGGCGCACCTTGGCTGGTCAAAATAATACACATCAGACGCCTACGTGTCCGTCACGTCAGTCAACCTTCGGCTGAGTCAGCAAATAATGGTCAAACTTAACTTTTCTGTTAGCTCAGGATATGGATGCACCGTTTTAATTAGTTTGGGACACTGGATGCACCGAAAATTACTTTAGGACACTGAGTGCACTTGGAAAAATAGTTCGGGGTGCTGGGCGCACTTTAACCCAAGTTTTATATTAGAACCATTCTTGTTCTACTAAAAACAAAGATGATTTTCCTCTTTAATTTTTGAGGGGTCAAAACAGTCAATTTTATTAATCACAAAAAAAAAATTACAATCGCCATCCACCAATAACTAGAATCAAAATAAACACTAAAAAAAATCAAAATAACAGACAAGGCAAACAAACACAAAACAAAAACAGAGTAATCTAAAACAACTACAGCCCATAGCAATCCTCACAAACGAAAAACTTAAGATCTTGCCGCAGAATGTTATTCAGAAAGGGTGGTGGCTCAAAAAACCATCCTTGCAGTACCACACATTTCCAAGCCTCAGCTTCCATACAATTGGTAGATCTATTGCCCCTGCGAGAAACCAAAGACACATTACATCTTCATAGCTCCAATACAGCCTTTAAATTCAGAATCTCCAAATCTGCAGAAAAGTCCTTGACAATCTGTTTCAATGATCACCTTCATCCCTTCCCGCCTCTCACTACTCTTCAATGCTTCCAGACTTGCCAAACTTTCTGCCATAAGTAAGAGTAGATCCCGCCTGTACCTTCATTCTCAATCCTGCAATAAATCATCCCACCAAGCCTACAGAAGCAGCCATACTGGAATTCTTGAAAGAGGCATCCACATTCAACTCAGTTGCCCCGCTTTTAAGTGCCTTCCACATCTGAGCTCTTACAAATTCCCTTCCACCTCTGCATCAAAGATATATTTACATCTCATCTTCCGGATTTCCCAACATGTAGTAGCAAATAAAGCAATGCTAAAGTCATCGAGTCCCATTTTCTGCTTTATCCGCTCATCCATCCAACTAGCCATATTGCACATCTTTGATTCATTGAACCTCAGTGACAATAGAGATCCAAACTAACTTCTCTTAGCCTATGGTCATAAGAACAAGCACTTAAAAAAATACTTTCACGTCTTACATGCTTATCTCAAGCACCATAAAAGGTCCGTTTAGATTGACAGTGAAAAAAAATAACTTATTTCCAATTTGACTTTTAGAAAAGTAAGATTGGGTAAAAGTTAAATTAGGTAAAGTGAATTGTGTTTGGATTGGAGTATAAAAAAAATTAGTTTGTAAAAGTAATATTGGTAAAAGGTTATTTAAATTATGATTGAGAGTGAGTTTATAAAATTACCGAAATGGGTACGGGTAAGAGATTTCAAACGACAGACACGAAAATTCACTCCCCTTTACTTTTTCTTCAAATGGCAACAGGTTAATGGCAGAGAGAAAAAAAAAAAAAAGATTTCTGACACACCATCAACGGTCCAGAATAAACTCTTCAAATAAGTTCCTCCCAAAAGCTTAATTTGAAACGCATGGTTAGGTAGCTTATCAAAGATAAGTCCAATTGTATATATGTCCTCCCAAACATGATATGATTTTCCAATCAGGCTTCTGCCCAAAATAAGTGGTTTATGGGCCAATTTAAGCCCTGCCAAACAGGCACAAAATCATTTTAAAGAGCTAATCCAAACATCCTTTAAGCATGCTCAATGGATTCCACTTGACTTCTACAAATATCACATGCAAGTGTGTTGGAACATTTTCTTCTATACAGTGTTTCCTTGGTGATCAAAGCTCCACTCACTGTCCTCCGCATAAAATGAGCCACTTTGGGAGGAAACTTCAGCTTCCACAATTGATTTCACAGCTGTTTAGAGATTTTATAAGAACATCCTGGAACCCTTAGCCTTTCTTCCTTCTTCTTTGTCTATTGCCTCTTTGATTTTTTCTTTTTTAACAACAACAACAAGCCTTATCCCACTTGTTATTGTTGTTAAAAAAAAATTCATTTCTTCCTTGATTTTTTTTTAAACGAACATAAATGTATTTCGTTCCATCAAAATTCATTTCCATTCTTATTATCATTCCTATTCTCATTTTCATAAACATATTTTACAAACCAACCAAAAGAGACCTTTATTTATGTTCTGTGTGAAGTCACACTACTCCATGCACGTGTTAATAACATTTATTTTTGAAAAAAAAAGAAGTATTGCTTCCTAACATAATGTTAAAAGGATGATCAAAAAATGTTACAAGTCAAAATTGTAGAAGTCTTTAAAACAAAATTTAAATTTATATATAATATATAATTAAATAAAAATTAAAAATGATAATGTTCACATATTCCCATATCAGGAACTCACCAAGACACCAACATAAAATCACAGCAGGATATAGTTTGTTTTAGTTTTTAATTTATTTTGTGCATTTTTTTGGTTTTTTTCTGAGGCATTTTTTATTTGGTTGAACAATTTTATAAAGCCAATAAATTAATTGCTCTTGCGTACAAAAGAGTAGAGACAATGAAATGACGACTTGATGCACTTATCGCCCATTGATTCAGCTTTCACTGTGCCCTCGATCGTCTTCATCCGTTGTTTTTAGAGTGTGTTTGGTATGAGGGATATGGGGGAGGGGGGGAGGGGAGGGATTTTAATCATTTCTCCTTGTTTGGCACACACAAATTTTAGGAGGGGAGAAAATTTTTTTTAAAATTTCCCCTCCCCTCCAAAATTGAGAGGATTTGGAGGGAAAGGGTAATATTTTATCATATTATGACTATTATGCCCATATTTTGTCATGTTGTAATCATTATGTCTATATTTTGTCATGTTGTGACCATTATGCCCACGCCTTAAATAAAATAAGAGTAAAATTGTTTATATTAAAATATTTTTCCCTCCCCTCCCCTCTTTTTTTATAAATTTAAACAAGATAATATTAAAATCCTTCCACTCCTCTCCCCTCCCCTTCCCTCCATTAAAATCCCTCCCTTCCCCTTCCTCTCATTGAGCCAAACATACCCTTAGGCTTTGTTTGGTTGGGGTTTTTTTGAAGGGAGGGGAGGGGATAG